GGTCACATACACATTTTAAATACTAGAAAATTTCGCGCCAAAAAAACGAAAAATGAAAAAAAAAACAAAAAACCAAACCAAGGCGAATCTTCAACTTCGTCGCTCACGCCGGAGTAACAATGCGTTTATCTCTTATTGAATATCGTCACTTCATTATTATTATTATTAACCGCTGAATTTATCTCAATGGAAGGATTACCATTTTCTTATAACCCAAGTTAAATTTGTTTTCTGAAAGACACAACGTGTAGTTTCATCTGTCGCTTCATAAGCCTCGTTTTCATATGTCACCGACAGTCAGCGATGATAGGTGGTGGCCGGTGACGAAATTTGTTTAAAAAAAGAAAGCCCTTTATACTCCTCCATTCACCAACAATAACCATCGACCTGGCTTATAACCCTGGCGTTCTTATTAACCACCGACAGTTGGTGATGTATTGTTGATAACCAATGACCAAGAAAATTTATGGAAAATAACACAGAACATTATTCTCCAATGATCTCTGGCAATAGCCTTCGCCAATTGTCGGTTACATATGAAAACCAGGCTTCAAGCCTAGTTCACTGGTTCTCGTATGTCACCAATAGTCCGCCATATATCTTTATTGGTGGCCATGACCATGCAGCGACTAAAGCTTCGTTTACACGACAAGCATTTTTGGCCAGGCACGCTTTAGTTTTTGCAAGCGGGCAGAAAATGGCACGGCACTTTTAAATTTTGTCCTTTAAACCGACATAATATAAGTCCGCAGACCAGTAATTTTATCCGTGCCGAGACCGCTTTAAAAGATGTTTTTGACCTGTCAAAGCATGGAGACCGTGCCAAAAATATTGAGTTGCATCAGCAATTTTGAATCGGATTTGAGCGAGGGTCGGCCTCGAATGTTCTTTGAATTCATCAGCACTTTTTTATTGTTGATCAAGCGCAGATTAAATAATTACTGCAAAATGGCGGGAAAGAACAGCAGGGAAAGCTCTGGTTGGATACGAAAACAAATGTTTTAATAGAAGCCTAGGGTGCTGAAGTCATTCAACAAGTTATAAAATGCAAAAATACCGACACTATCACACGAATAAAAAGATTCGTTTTTTGTTCGAAGGATAAATTATTTAGAAGACCTTTATGGCATGATTACCAGATGATGCATCTCAGCTTTGTTAACCTGCTGACTTATATAGCAACTGTGGTGTGGTTATGGGCGCCAAAAATATTCTATTGGGTGCTTTCTAAAATTCTGTGGTATTCAGGCCTAAAAAGAAAAATAACGCGTAAACAGGCTTAGTTACGGCGCCAATTTCTTTTGGCCTGCCCTGAAAAAACTAAGCGTATCGTACCAAAAATGTTTGTTCTATAAACGAGGCTAAGTAAATGGAGTTTCTCTGCATGGGTTATTTATTGCTTTGGTCCGCTACTGATATTCTGATATTGATTAAATTTCAAATAAAGGCTTTTTTGACTAATCTTGTATTTAATTGGTAGTTGTGCATTTATGTTTCTGGGACGACACAAATAGCTTTGGAACAACACATTTTGTGTAGGTCTGCACGGTAGAAAATCTCTGGTCACTTCCATACGAGGATGATCCTAGCTTTCAAAGAGGAAGATCTCGCCGGCACAAGACAAAATCAGTGATAAGGAATATTAACAAAGAAAATTAGACAATAACACAATTAGACTGGTTCTGTAGAGTGTTTTAGAAAACTGCAACTGGCGTAATTTATCACTAATTGATCCGTAATTGAACTTTGTGTGGTTATTCTAATGTCAAATACGTCAAATATCAGAAGCATAATTTGTCGCACGGATATTGAAATGTTCTCTGCAATATCAACTTATGGTAATTATAGTGTTTTTGACACACCCTGTATGACACCCACACAACGACAATTTTGAATGCATGACTTGAGTTCATTTAATAACTAACAGGATACCATCAGAGTGTTTGGTGTATTCTTGTTCGCTAGGTTTGTGAACATTTCTTAGCGTCTATTTAGTTTGGTTCTGACTTAAATCTCGCTGGATTATGGCGACGTAGTTGGATTATCGGTTCCAATAATTGATAAAGGTACGTTCTTGTCTCTTTCTTGAAGATTATAAATCATTTTACTTCGTCAACAGCGAAGTATGCTAGACACGACATAGCCGTCTCGCGTCATGTTAAAACGTTTAGTAAAACCTTGAATAAAATCCAAAATCTAGCTCCGAAATATACTTTATTCGTCTTACTATAGCATATCATGTTGGTTGTCAATAATGAACCGATTGGCTTCAGCAAATTTGTCTTTTATAACTGTATAGTAAAAGTGAATTAATTGTTGCTAGGGCTCAGATATTAGGTCATAGGACTTAGCGCGTCATTTATGGTAGTAATTGGCAAATTTATATTTGTTTTATCTGAGGACCATTTCAACCATCGTCCTGTTTATATGTCACCAGTTTCAAATTGTTTATTCCACTGTCAAATTGACTCCATTAGCTTTCGCTAATTCTTCGACGACTGCGACAATCAATTATGAGCAGAAGACAGCGCCTTCGAATCATTTTTATGTTTTAATTCCTTGCATAAATTTATCACCAGCTCATTGTTGTCTTCAGAAGTTCATTTCAGCTGATATTTATATTGGAGCAGCAATAACCGAATATTAACATATAATTTAAGTTGAAACTGAAATATCTAAAAAACTACTGATAAATATTGAATGAAAAGTATTTCACATGAAATTATTTGATCATCGAGCACTAGAAAGTGTTGGGATCATCAGCAAGTATTATCATTCATGTGAGATTTTCGAGTGTCAACGTTCCTCTTAGAAATGCATGTGTTAATATGTTTGTGTGGACGCATTGATATTATTTTGACAATGTTTCATTAGTTTTGAATTGGCTTTTTCAGTAAAATATCGATAGTTTATATTTAAAGTACTTGGTGTTTACTCAATGTTTGAAGTCAACGTTAGTTGTGGTTTTACCAGGTTTCAAAATATATATCAGAGATCTCGACACAAGATGAAATCAGTAATACGAAGTAATTACGCGCATTAGGCCGAAAAACACCACGGGCATTTTGCAACATTGAGTTGCCATACCATCAAAGTGTTTGGTTTATTCTTGTCTGCTGGATTTGTGAACATTTTTTTGCGTTGATCAATTTATTTGTGGCGTAAATCTGTGGAATTATTTCTACGTCGTGAGTGATCACATTTCGTAGTCATAGGTACGTTTTTGTCTCTCTCTTTAAGATGTAAATAATTTTATATCTTCAACAGCGGAAGTATGCTAGGCCCGGCACAGCGCAGTGGCGTAATATTAGGAAGCTTTAGCAGCGGACTACGTATACGAGTACGACTACGCGATCAGCCAAAACTCGTAGTCGCCAAGCTTTTGAGTACGAAATTTGCCAAAAAAACTCGTACTCATGCAAAATCCCGGTGACTACGAGTTTTGGCCGATGGCGTAAGCAAACAACGCGTGAGAATGACGAATCTCGTACTCGTAGTTCCCTATTATAACGTTCAGCAAAACCTCGAATAAAATCAGTCGTAAATTTCGTTCATAATATCCTTCATTCGTCTTAATAGTGAACATGCACAATTCAACGAGAACGAACGACAATGCAGTTATGTTAATAAGTGTTATGTAAATATAAAACAAAACACATTTGTACCAAACTGCTTGTACACATACATAAATACATAATTACAAATATCTTAATTTTTGGATAATCCAAATAATGTCGAAATGACGTTCAACCATTACACATTTGATGTTAGGACTTAGGGTTTCGGTTTATACGTTTACGGGTAGCGATATTTTACTCAATGAATTTCTCTGTAATTATTCACATGTTTAATCATGCAATTTTTGCTTGGCTCGACCTTTTACAAATAAATTGAATAGCCATGCCATAATTATGCTGTGTTTTCTTTGGGGTTCATCCCTATTTACATTCATACGGTTACACAACGAACAAGGGAAGAAATAATTCTACACATGCAAATACATAATTACAAGACAAATCAATTTCATTTCTTGATTAATTGTTCTTCGCCCTATACCTTAAAAGTTATTTATTTAATCGCAGCGTCATGCACGGGGAAATTACGGAAACGTGCACAATGCTTCTTTTATGCTATATATTGTTTGTCTTTGTCTTTAAGCCTGGCGCACACTGCTGCACTTAACACTCACACATAACAATTTTCACCTGCACATTTTGCGGGGACAAAATTAAGATATTCTGCCATTTGTGTGTTTGTGTCGTAAAATTGAGCACGAACAACAAAATATGTCAATTTAGCTCCCACAGACTAGGAAATTACCACGAGTGATAAGTGTGCAATGTTGACAAGTGTGCGCCAGGCTTAATACTGCATTTCATGCTTCAATAATGACAAACCAATATCACCTTCCAGTGGATACGTTGTTTAGCTTCTGTAAAGATTCCAATTTGTTTATTTTTCTATTTCTCCATGCCAGGGAATGCATTCTCACCTGTTTAGTTCATCATAATACGTCATCGTTTGTCATTGTATTTCCCGAGATATTGCCCTCATAATACATTCGGTCCACGTGGTATGACTGAATACCATTTACCCACAATAGCATTAGATATATGTAGCCCTACCTGGGGTTTTTTAAACGAAACCCATTGAGCATTAACACCCATTTGTTGCAGTAAAACTTGTGCAATGTCATGGCTTCTGTCAATCTGCAAGAAAAGGCAAATTTTACAAGACTCAGTAGACTTCTAGTTGACAAAGGAACTGAGGCTTTGAGAAATACATTTGATACCATCCATCCACCTGTTAGTCTACCCAGAGTACTGGCTGCAAAAAAAACATCTCTTCAAGCGTTAAAACCTCGAGTTATTAACAATTCCCAGTGGGATTTACTGTTTCCTCCGTCTGGCAACCCACAAGATTCCAAAAACTTTGATGTCACATTACTTACAGTTCTATTCCGGAACATTTGTGGTTTTCCATCAACAGGATGGGGTGTAATGCCTCCGGATACTGATAGGTCAACGCAGGCGAATATCACAAGAATCAAGTGTTACAGAAATGAAGTTATTGCACATGTAACAAGAACTCAAGTTGACAATTCAAAATTTGAGTCTTTAGTGAAGAAAATTGCGCAGGCATTGGTAGAATTGGGCGTTTTACAGAGTGATGTCGCCGATTTAAAAAAATGTCCTCTTGGGCCTGAAGAAGAAGTGTATGTGCAAAAGCTTAAAGATTGGAAACTGCACGAAGATGAGTGTATTAAAATGCTTGCAACAATGACACAAATCGTTGAAGAAACCCGCGATGGAGTAAATATATTATGCCAGTCTTTGTTGAAGAAAAGTGAGAATGAAACCCTTGAAACGTCTCTCAAGCGTACGTTATCAATACCCGAGGATACCAATGCTGAAAAAAATTATGCAAGATGGCGTGGTGAAGATGTATTACGTAAACTTGCCAAACATAATTTCAAGAATAAAATTCGAAGAAAAGTGAAATTTTTCCTACCAGGAACAAGAGAGTGGTTGTTAAGGGAAGTTGACGAATGGTTTTGTAGCAGTGATAGTGAGTCAAGAATAAAGTTAATAACAGCTGGACCAGGATTTGGTAAAAGCGTGTTTGCCGCTAAAATCTGTGAAGATTTTGAGAAGAATGGAAAGCTGGCTGCTTGTCATTTTTGTGATTTCAGTGATTCAAATTTAAGAGATCCTATGGCGATGTTGGAGTCTCTCGCAAGTCAGATGTGCAAGAGCGTCTCTGGTTTTAAAGAGGAGCTCCTTGATCAGTTAGGACGACGTCATCAAATCAAAAACCTCAAAGATGCCTTTCAAATATATTTGCAAAATCCCCTAGACGAATTGGAAATAAAAGAGGCACGTTTAGTCGTGATCGATGGCTTGGATGAAAGTGCTGCTCATAATAAGAATGAAATTACCCATCTGATTGCTGAATATTTTCTTGATCTTCCAGAGTACATCAAAATCCTGGTCACGAGCAGGCCAGAGATTTCCGTTGCTGATCTAAGACTAAGAGACGATCAAAAGACAGACATTTCCAATGTTGATGACAACAATAACTCCGATCTTAAACTTTATTTTAAAGAATATTTTCCAAGTTTAGTCGGCAGGTTTGTGATACGAATTGAGATGAGCGATGATTTCTATGAGGATCATCCATATCGTTACCCTCTTTGGCAAAAAAAAACTATAACTAGTTTACTTTCCATTTTTGTTGCCAAATGCCAGGGCTCATTTCTCTATGCATATCACTTTCAATCTGGGCTAAGAGCTCGATATGATCTTGAGAAGATAACAGATAATGACGTCATGGAATTTCTCCCAGAAGGACTGCATTCTGTTTACGAAAGATATTTTAAACGCCTTAAAGACGAGCTTAGCGACATAAAACATGAAAAGTTTGAGGTGTTGAAAATTTTCGAAATCCTGGCTGCTTCAGAAGGACCTCTTCCCCTCACTTTCGTCGCTCAGGCTTTTGGTTTAGCTCCAGATTGTCGCGAAACGAAAGACATCATTAACAAAATTAATGAAACCGTATCGTGCTTGTTGTACGTTTCAGATGACATGTTAACCGTTTTTCACAAATCCTTTATTGATTGGCTTCTAGCAAAGGGCTACAAAGATCACCAGTATACTGTCAAGGTCAATGATGGACATAGATCGCTTTGGCCTTTATGCGAAAAGGTTTTTAAAGAAATCGTGGAAAGTTTTCGCTCAGGAGTTGAGGTGAAGTTTACTCATGACGTGAAATACGCTCTAAAACATGGTTTAAAACATCTAGAAAAATGTGGAATGGAGGAAGCTGTGTTTTGGTCAGTTGATGTTATTATCGTATGTTATATGATAACTGAAATCGATTCAGATGTATTGCAGCGTTTCTGGTTCAAATCACTCCAAAGCTCCTGGATCAAAAACGAAGATTTACGTGCCCGTATTTCGTACCATCTAATTGAATTTGACTCTTTTCATCATGCCCTGAAAGACATGAAGCTGTATTTCATGCATTCAAAACACGTTGTTTCGAACATATGCTCACAATGGTATTTACAAGCAGTTCTTACCCGTTCTCCAGAAGGTTATTTCAGCGATGATGAGAAGAAAATCGCGGAGACGCTACTATCAAACTTTTCACCTTTTGTCGAGTCGAATTCTTACGAAGTTTCAGTTTTGCCGCGAGCAGTCTGGAAACCCAGTGACTTTGGTAATATTACAGCTGTTGCTTTATCTAATGATGAAAAAAGTGTAGCAGTTGTAATAGATAATTTTATCCATGTGATATCCCTACCAAATTTAGTTGAAATTATGAGTTGTTCAACAAAATTGGAAAGCATTTCTTGCTGTACATTTTCTCCAGACGATTCGCTCATATTATTTGGTAAACTTGAAACGGCGTTTAACATTGCTAAAAGGAAGGAAGCCCCATTTTTCCCTGGAAATGAAGAGACGTTCGAAACCTGTGCATTTTCCCCTAACGGCAAAAGACTGGTGACTAGCGACGGTTCAAATACCATTAAACTATGGGACGTTGCTAAACAAAAAATGCTGTCGTCGCTTTGTGCTGGATTTCCTGTTGGTTGGTGTTTTTTTAGCGTCACAGGGTTATTTATTATTGCAAAATCAAAAACTTCATCTTATCTGGGTTATTGGTTTTGTGTTTGGAACGCCATCACATTGCAAAGAAGTGATAAGCGAAAATTATCTCACGGGGAAAGGGAGAAATCAGTTGTGTTAAAGAGAAGGAAATGTGAACGATGTTTTCAGCGAGGATTTGAGCAACCAAATTTTAAACACTTGGAAATAAGGACTGAAATTAATAGGAATTATATGATTTCGTGTCCGTGGATCTGCAAATTTGAGGAGTGTATTATTTCTCCGAATGAATATCGTTATTCGAGTGACACAGAAAGTATTCCTTTGACTGTGATTGTTGCTTGGAACTATCTTGCTTCAGCTAATCGACAGATTTTTTTTAATCAACTCAATCAAATGTCACGTTTAGGGGATAATCTGTGGCTCTATTCAGAAGATAAAAAACTAATTGTCTTTAAGACATTAGCTCCTAAACAAGAGCAATCCTGTCTGTCACAGCCAATGTTCGTTAATTCGAGTTCGTTTTCTCCTGACGGCTCTCAACTTGCATCCTGCAACTCAGATGGATATATCAACGTATGGAATGTCTATACCAGCCAAGTTCAACAACGTTTCATCAGCAGTCAATGTGGGTCAATGTTTTTATGCTGGTGGTCGGAAGATTTCTTGTTTGTGATTAGTGAATTTAACGACATTCTCAAATTAACGCGATACCCGGTAGATGACAAATTAGAGATCTCGTCTACTCACGGTCAGTACGTGGCGCTAGACGACTTGTCTGATATCAGTCATTCAAAGCCGATTGGTTTTTCTGAAGGCTTTGTCAGCTTTGCTCTTGGATGGAACGAACCTGTGAAAGTTCTCGATGTCAGAGATGTTAAAGGTCCTTTAATGATCAATTTACCCGGAATTCAGCCTCAGATGGAAGTGGAAATTTCCAGAAAAAAAGAATGGAGAAGTAAGACACCTCCTTCCCTCCGTTTGTCTGGGAGTTCATCTTGGGCAAGTGATAGCACTCCCTTGCCTCCCTAACTGGGGTTACAGTTTGTTAAGAGGAGATTTGTTTTTATGTCGTGTATTTTGGCGGGAAAACGTTCAAATCTTTTCGGCGTACCACTCATTTATTTTACTTTTATTCTTTAGATTATGTTGAGAACTAAGTTTTGAACTGTATTTTGTGATTGCAAAACACCAAACGATATAAGAGTTATTTCAAAATATAATGCGGCTATATAAATATAAATGTCAACGCCATTATCACTGAAATGAATACAAAAGTATGTAGCTTCGAATTAAGTGTCCTTTTCTTCTCGGCGTATCCCGAGAAATCTTTTAATTTTCACAATATTTTGAGATTTTACTGCAAACAAACTTTGTAGATGCTTTTTAGGTTCGCAAAACATGATCAATGTTGAAAATTTTAGTGCTGTTGCTTGAAGATATATTATAAACTGAGCATTTATAACGCGACATAGAAAAATATCTTCTCTTAAACAAAACAAAGATGACATCTTGAATACATCTGAAAACAAAAAAAAAAGAAACATGTCCTAAATAACTGTAACCAATGCCAGTCGTTTGATGGTGTTGTTTAAGATGTTCATTATGGTAGTTACAGTCATGTTGCTGGTGATAATTCTCATCTATGATAGTGGTGATGGTGCTGGTCTATACGATGGTGCTGATGGTAATTGCGCTGGTTATGAAAATAATGGTAGAAATTGTAGTAACTATATTAGCTGTATTTTGTTCACGAAGTTTGATGCTGATGAAAAAGAAGGATGACGGAACTCAGTGGCGTCATGCACTGGAACGATAATTGGGGGAATTGCATGAATATTCATATATTCAGTTCTGCCCGACGGGTTTCTTTTGAGAGTGCATGCAATAGCTTAGAATAGAAATACGTGGGGTAGAACTGAATAAATTATATACACCCCTGATGGAACTGCAAGAACTATGTACATTACAGGGACATTTTTTTAGCTGGAGAGGAAGATATTTATAGTCTGGAGCGGGAACTGGAAAATTGTAAAAACGTGCGTGAAATTTAAATAATAATATGTTCAAGATATCTGATGTTCATAAAAAAGAAGGTCACGAAACAAAGAAGGGCCCGTTTTCCACTAGGCGAATTTATTCGCGCGACGCGAAGCGATATCCGAAATCCAGTGGTATGATTGGCTTGCAAAAAAATTCGCTCCAAAAAAAAAAGATCAATTCCTACTTTTTATCTGTTTGCGCGAACAAATTCGCCTAGTGAGGAACGAGCTTTAGGCGTGTTTCAAACGTCGTTTTTATTTTTAATGCGTTCGACATTGTGAATTTAGAAACCCTACAGATGGTCGTGTATCATAATTTAATATACTCAAGCTTAGATTTTTATTTAACACTATAGGTAGCTTATTTGTAAGCAAACTAACATCAAGTGGTAAATTAGGATTTTATGACTTCGAACGTGCCTGGTCCACACAAGAACACATGACAAGAATATTGCTTAATGTTTAAATGGTAGCCTACTGACAGCATATATTGTAAATTTGTACTTTGTAAAGATTTGTATTTTTGTAAACCATTTTATGCTTTCACTTTGTTGTTGAAATTTCTTATTTCGGTGTTTGCTAACATCCCCTAAGTTGTCTCAACATCCCCTAAGTTGTCTCAACATCCCCTAAGTTCTCTCAACATCCCCTAAGTTGTCTTTAAGACTGCAACAGTGGCTCCGATAGATTTGAATTTTCCTATTGTGGTAATTTCTCCCATGCTGGAATTCCAGCAATGTCGAAACAATTGGAAAAATGTGGTTCGCTTCCAATCACTTTTTTATTGCCTGGCTTCTTAAGGCTGTCTTCCACTTAAGCTGCGTCACACGGTACCGGATCCACTCATCACGACATCTTCGTTTGCCGTTATGAAGCAACGATTATTAGTAAACGATTATTAATTTCATAAATTTGGTATATTTATTGAGGACACCGATGTCTTTCATTAATTAACTTCAAAATTCGATCTGGTCCGATAGTAATCCGGTACCTTGTAAACGGGGCTTTAAGTGTTTTTCATACGCAGGTACACCACGGAAGAATGCTTTAACATTTTTATTATATACCAAAATTGGTAGAAAACTAATACTTTCGATTTATTCACTTTTTCAAAAATAACATGTATAATGATTTAGACATCCGTGTGTGTACGTGCGTATGAAAAACGCGTGCGTGGGAGACAGCCTCAATAGAATAGAAAAAAAGGTAAATTATCAGAGATTTGTTAGACTTGGACTTTACTTGTTAGATTTGGAATTTTTCCCTAAATCCTCGATCTTAACTGAATTTCTCACTTCTCTATGTTCTCCCCAGTGTTTTTAAAGGCGGTATTTAAGCGGTTATTGCCATTCTCTAAAAATATATGATTTAGATATATCGTTCCAGTTTTGTAACTTCAGTTCGCTGAGCCATATAGCTCAGTGGCTACACCCAAAACCTCACCCAGTTCCTGTTCTCTTTGAGTCTTTGTATTTCTTCAAAGTCTGTGTTCGTTTTTTGTCAAAATGATCGTATTCTTGGACTAAAAGCTCCCAAAGTGATCCTGATTCGTCTTGGGTGACCAACGTATTGATTGAGAAAGCTGAAGTTGTTTTAACAGGGTTTATCGACGCATACAAGTACAAAAACAAAGACATACGGCTTTGCACTGGTCGTGGTAAATACAGACTAGACAAGACCAGATTGTCGAAGGTATGTGCTAGATTCCTTGTGAGATTTCTCTCATATTGCGATATACGTGCGCGTCCTTGTCTATTTTGCTTTAAATTACAATATTTTGAACGGATGGTTTGATTTATATTGTCTTTTCTTGAGTATATTGCTCATTGTTGGTTTAATATATAATTATATATTGCTTAGTCGACAAAAATATTCACAATCTGATTTTGCTGGGTACGTGAGGAATTTATTTTTCAACGTTTTGTTGTTAATATCGTATGCAAAATAATACACCAGTCAGCGCTATAGTTTTGTTTCATCAGTTCTGCTATAAAATGGTCGTATTAAACACATCTAATTTTCAATTTATATACATAGTGCTACCCTAGTTTTATTAATAACACGGGAAATCTATTGACTAATTTATTTAGACCAAAGTCCAGAAATATCTTTTAGGGAGAATATAATCATTTCATTAATTTCTTACATGTCTAAAACATTTTATTCATCTTAAAAATTTTATTCATTTAGTTTAAACATTTTATTCGACCCAGTGTTAGGAAAATTGTTCGGTAACAGATTTGGTTGAAACCATCCTGGAACTGGATAATATGTTCTAATATATTCTTCATGCAACTTCAAATGGTATTAAGTTTTATAGCTAAAACCCACCTGATCATGATCAAACAATATATGTCATATGAATGCAAATATAACATGACTAAAAGACTGAGATATATTTTACTAAATTTATAAATCATAATTTGGGTTTTCCAGTTCTATTAATCTTACATCCACATGCCAACACATTTTACACTATATGCATTTATTGTTATGGTTTCTTTCTCATGTATAATACCAGCTTGCATACAGCTAATTGATAAAAAGTCATCCTGTGGCTATCATGTTAACTATGTATTTAGACTCCACCATCTGTTTCAACCAAAAGTATTTTAACAAATACACTGGTCAGTCATTGATCAGTCCATCTAGTACAACAATATCTGTCAATCACTGAAATAAATTATCTGTCAGTTCAGCAATACTTTAGTTGCAAATATTTTCATTCATGAGGTTGGAACTTAATCAGCCCTAATGCAATCCCAGCTAATGTTTGACAGAGTTCTCTATGGCTTAGTTGAGTATTTTACATAATGACATTTCATGTAACATTTGTCACAGAAACATTATTAGACCAGAATTACAGATTACAAGTGAAATGTTGTAAGTAAATACTGAGGTGTCGTCTCTAGGGTGGTTGGGTGGTCTTCATAACAGTAATTGTATTTCTTATAAACCTAAGTTTGTTTATATTTTCATTTACGTATTAACACAACATAAATTCTCAGCCAAGTTAGATGAGCCATTGTGCGTTTATAAAAAAATTTCAGCTTCCCTGACACCGCCATGGCTGATCCCTGCACAAGATAATATTTTAATTTAAAGTATGATTCATGACGTTCTGTCAACAATGCGTGTGATGAAATCTCTACTGAGACTGAGTGCTTGTGAGGTTTTAAATTACAATCAATTTCCGTCTTCGTTTAAATGTATCTACATCGTGAATATCTTCTACGAATTTTGGTACATTTTTTAGCCATGTATTGAGATAATCGCTTTCATGATTTGAAAAGGTTCGTTTATGTCAATGTTAGTCGTGTTTTTTGAAGAGTATAAATGATTTTATGTCATCAACACAGTGAAGTCGTCACAGTCGTATCAGGTCTTGGGCAACACAGCGCTTTGTCTGTGGCGCGATGAAATAAAATTGCAAATTTCGTTTTTTTTCTTCCTTTCAATGTTCTTAAAGTGAGGTTTCAGGCGTTTGAGATGTGATTTATGATTCGTTGATTTATGATTCCACATTGCGATAAAAAGAGACATGCGTTTAAATTTCCGCGCATAATGTTAAATTCGTAAACGTAGTTGCTAGTCTATCTGCATGATGGCCAAATATTGGTCTGCATAATGCCGAAATGGTGGCGTTGTCAGTATACTCGTGTGATAGTGATACTTGAAATACATTGCACATTTCTCGCTTCTTTAAACATAAGGAATACAATTCCGAAATTGTTAACTCATCGCCAGAATAATATGATGTTACCGACCTTCCTATATGCCATTGCAGTCATATCCTGCAGCAACAAATTTTCAGACTGCAGTTTAAGACCCTCGTGTGACTATAGAGACGCATCATCCGTCTGTTATTATAAATACAGGGTATTAACCAGAAAACAGCTCTTGTACACGCGCTTTTTGCCACATAAATATTTCCCAGGATATTTTCCCATTTTCGATGCACTTATAAGTAAGGCGTGATTTTGTTTATGTTCGACATATTCGTCTACATATGGTTTTGCCCATGTAGATTATCACATTCTAAATTTTGAAGTAGTACGTTTGTTATTATAAATGATTTATCAGCAACACGGTAAAGTAGGCATGGTTGGTTGTATGTGCATGTAGGTGCAGAACAGCGCTGTGGCGTCGTATTGAATAAACTTGCATTATTAAATGCCTGGCACTGCACAGCGCTTCGTCGCGTTGTGGTCTTGTGTGATACTGATACTGGAAAAACATTCCTCGGGTTTTTTGCATTTTCTAAAAAATTCGTGTTTTCCGATCATAAATATAGCGACCTTGTCGAAAAAATTCGGACCAGAAGTTTGTGAAATTTACGATTAAAGTTCGATTTTTAGACTCTTTACTGGCGAAATTCCTAACATTCCATCGCGCGGCCAATGACGTAGGCAGTGTGACACAGCTCGATCTTTTGATATGTATTAGTATTACTACGATGTTATATAGCTGCGTCTATGTAGAATTAGGATTCCGGAGCGGTTTTGACGAATCCGCTTTTTGTAGTCACGAATTTTAATTTATAGACGGAATATAATTACAACATGAAAAATCGTAGCAGCCAGAAATGCACTTTTTATGCCGCGAGAGACTATATACCGCATCTTGAGGTTTCAGACGTACCGCATACATACCGCATATTATGTAAAAATATGATATCAACTATTGTAACCAATGTAGAGTAGTAACTAATACTAGAAAATTGCATTCCTAAAATTAATACGAAATATCTACATTAGGACTGAATATGTAGGCTATCTATCTATATTACTGACATCATATCATATTGACATTACACTGCATAAGCGTGCATGGTATACCATAATTAATGTTATGTAATTTGTAACTGCTTCAAACGCGATATACTTATTATATAATTTGCGTTCACTCACAATCACTCGTGATGCTCATATTGCGTGTTTTTGCACTTAAAATAAACCGGAATTTGATTAGTATTTTTCTCACCTCTACTTAGAAAACATCAGCTAGAATTGCGTGCTTTCTTTGCGCGACAGACACAGTGACACAGTGCATCTAGGCTTAGCTACCGCATTTCCCTCACGTCACAAAATTCAAACCTGCACTCGCACGCAATCGGTACAATCTTGCCCTATAAAAACACTGCGTTATGAGTTACAAAGCACTTTGAATTCAACAAGCATGGCTTCCAGCACGAAGAGAGCGAAGAGGGGAAAATTTTGCGTCAATAGAAAATATAATTCCTTTTGAAATGATTAAGACGTCTCCAGACAGTTTAGGTAAATTAAATAATTAAATAATAGAATTTTTTTAATATTTATCAAATGCCTACCAGGCTATACTAATACGAATTCATGTATTTCTTGTTTGTTTCAAGTGAAAATACATGCCTTATGCCATATAATAAACTTTTTATTAACCTTGCTTGCTCGGTCTTTACCGAGAATTATCGGACCTCGATCTTTTTGTACAAACTTCGCTCTTCGAGCTCGGTCTGTTCAAAAGGACCTCGGTCCGATATTTCTCGGTAAAGACCTCGCGCTCGGTTAATAAGAATTTATTATTCTTATTATAAAATGTCGGTATTTATTTAGTTTTGTCTTCTTAAATGGCCACGATACGAGGCTGAAACAGATGATGTTGGTTATATATACGGGAGTAAAGTTCTGTGATGTTTGTGTGATGTATACAGTTATAGAAACACGCGCAGGAGTTTGTGAGAACGAGAAATAATGAGATGAGCGGGTTTTCCACGTTATATTATTTATCTGCGAAACATCCACAAACTTACAACCTTAAAAATCAAAACTGTTTCATGATTCCAAGATGCAACGGCAACAGATTTAAGAAAACTTATATTATATCAAATCTTAGAATTAAGAATTATCAAAATTTGCTAGATTTTGATGGTTTTTTATTCTATGACCGAACCGAATGTATAGTTTTTATATAACCACATGCAGTGAAACTAGTTATTAAAATGTTTGCTATATATTATAGATACATTGTTTTAATCATACCTATTTTTTTTTTATTTGCGAAAATCATGTGTATTTCAACTTTAGGGCTGCGAAGTGATTTGTTTTAATAAACAGTGATAATAATATTAATTCTATTAAACAAAATTGAGGGTTTGTATAAGATCTGAAATATAAATACGGTCTCCGCTTCGTGGTCGTGCGATTTTTGGTAATGACGCATGAGCACTCCACTCAGTGCAATTACCATTATAAATACGCATCCCACGTGACACTCACATGACATTCTAGCTGCTGATTAATTGGGTGGGTTAAAGTTACGATGAGAATTTGTTCTTTCTAGGTTTTAAATCTACATTTCAGTCCATCTGTCCGTTATCCTTCCTGAGAATTTTGACCATGTAGTGGAATCATTATTTGAAGATTTGAGAAGGTACGTTTGTGTCAGTGTTGGTTACGTTCTTCGAATATTAACAATATGAGTGTCTATTGTATTCTATTAGGTGGCACAGTACAGAGCTGTGACGTCATTACGTTCTTCGAATATTAACAGTATGAGTGTCTATTGTATTCTATTGAGTGGCACTGTACAGAGCTGTGACGTCATTACGTTCTTCGAATATTAACAGTATGAGTGTCTATTGTATTCTATTAAGTGGCATAGTACAGAGCTTTGACGTCATGTTAAATGAACCGGTAACCAATATAGAAATAATTCATAACACGATTGCGAGGCTCGGGGCTAAAATATGAGAATTAAAATTTCCTGACAATAGTGATAATGCAAAGACTCAGGTGTGTATATTAAATGTATATGTGATGTTGCTACTCTGAGTCACCAACCGGACAAGCTGCAAGCTTCCCACCGTGGTCAAGCTAATATTTTAAGCTTGCCCGGTTGGTGACTCAGAGTAGCAACATCACAAATACATTCCTGACAATGATGAAACACTAAACAGCAAATAAGGCACATTAGTTTTTCCGAGACTAAGGATCGATCAATACAGTTTTATTTTAATAAACTCTCTGAGCGCGTAAGAGTCCTGTATAGACTTGCGAAAATATATAATCCAACTTCACCATTACCAGAAATTTGCGACATGATAATTTGCATTTATACTAATTTGCATTTAACTTTCAGCATAATGGCCTTCAACTTTTACTATTAAATACATATAGTAAATATACAAAACCTTAAAATGTCGTTGCCCTAGACCTTGCCCACTGTTTGCCGACCTCTGGGTCAATAGAACAGCCGTTTCCCAACGTTTTAATGATCGAATTACTTACCTTAGGTATTTCTACGTTCGGCCAACTGATTGTGAACAAATGTGTATATAGCCTTCGTATTGTTCAAGTTCCTGATAAAACTGATAATATTTTTTAAAATGATTGCAGTGAAAATTCGAGCCGTACAGAAAAGTTTATACACAAATACGAAAGACAATATCTTTAACAACTTTTTTTGGTATATTACACGTCAATTCATCAACTACCTGAATCGAAATATTCGAATCAATGTGAGCGATTTTATAAGTTCGTTGACAGAACACGGACAAAACTTTGAGCAATATATTTTTAAATTTGGCAGATTACAGAAATGCTCAAGCAAAAAAATTCGGCCACCAAAACGTCTCTAAACAGCTGCTCTACCGATCTAGAGGTCGGCAAACAGTAGGCAAGGTCTAGGTCAACGGCATTTTTAAGTTTTGTATATTTACTATATATATTTTATAGTAAATGTTGAAGGCCATTATGCTGAAAGTTAAATGCAAATTAGTATACATGCAAATTATCATGTCGCAAATTTCTGGTAATGCTGGTTACATGCTGAGGAGGCACAGGCATTATTCTGAAAAGACAGGTGTTTTATGGGATGAAGTATTATTTGTAAAAACAAATTATCGAGAGTCGGCTGAAACAGCTTTTAAAAATTTTCGTTTGAACTGAATGGAATTTATAAAAAACTTGTAAAAGACTAAAGAACGATAGTTTACAATCGGAAATGAGTCGGGTAGCAATAGATCTTAAATACACGAGATATTTTCATAAATCATTTGACATCAAAATACATTCAGATCATACCATGTCTATAAATGAGAACATTCTTTCAAAATTTATAATATCAATAAAAATCTCATTTCCACACACAAATAATACACCGGAATGTTTATGGAAATTCTAAAATTAAGCTCATGTGAGTTTGTCATATGGGTGGTAGCAAGTGAGAAAGGTTACTCCCGAAACAAATATCTCTTCACAAAATCATTTTAACAAGAAATCGCTTCATATAACACGATCCTTGCGACTTTCTTTTATGACAGAATCTCATAAAATATGTGAAAATCTACTCCATCCCATTCTTTTTCTCGGTGTACCCTATATAATTAATATGACCATTTTGTTACAGTAATTTTCGCTGCCCTACGCCATGGCTTCTGACGAACTGCGAGAAAAAGCAAATTTTACAAGACTCAGTAGACTTTTAGTTGACAAAGGAACTGAGGCTTTGAGAAATACATTTGATACCATCCATCCATCTGTTAGTCTACCTGGAGTACTGGCTACAAACAAAACATCTCTTCAAAAGTTAAAACCTCGAGTTATTAATAATTCCCAGTGGGATTTACTGTTTCCTCCGTCTGGCAACCCACCAGATTCGAAAACCTTTGATGTCACGTTGCTTACAGTTCTATTCCGGAACATTTGTGGTTTTCCATCAACAGGATGGTGTGTAATGCCTCCGGATACAGATAGGTCACAGCAAGCGAATATCGCAAGAATCAAGTGTTACAGAAATGAAGTTATTGCACATGTAACAACAACTCGAGTTGACAATTCAAGATTTGAGTCTTTATGGAAGAAAATCTCCCAGGCGATAGTAGAATTGGGCGTTTTACAGAGTGATGTCGACGATTTAAAAAAATGTCCTGTTGGGCCTGGAGAAGAAGTGTATGTGCAAAAGCTTAAAGATTGGAAACTGCACGAAGATGAGTGTATTAAATTGCTTAAAGTAATTGAAGTTCGTGTAAATAATGTAACACAAGTCGCTGAAGAGATGCGCGATGCAGTAAATGAAATGCGCCAGTCATTGGCCAAGCGTGCGCTATCAATACCCAGGGACACCATTCCTGAAAAAAAATCTCGCATGGAAAGTGATGAAGATTTATTGCGAAAACTTGCTAAGCATAATTTTAAGAGTAAAATTAAAAAAAAAGTGAATTTTTTCCTTCCTGGAACAAGAGAGTGGTTGTTAAGGGAAGTTAACGAGTGGTTTCAAATGTGTGAGAATGATTCGAGAGTAAAGTTAATAACAGCTGGACCAGGATTTGGTAAAAGCGTTTTTGCTGCTAAAATCTGTGAAGATTTTAAGAAGAATGGAAAACTGTCTGCTTGTCACTTTTGTGATTTCAGTGATTCAAACTTAAGAGTTCCTATGATGATGCTACAGTCTCTCGCAAGTCAGATGTGTGAGAATGTCCCTGGTTTTAAAGAGATGCTTCTTGATCAGTTAAAGCGACCTCATCAAGTCCAAAACCTCAAAGATGCCTTCCAAATATATTTGCAAAATCCCTTAGATGAATTGGAAATAAAAGAGCCACGTTTAGTCGTGATCGATGGCTTGGATGAAAGTGCAGCAGATAATAAGAATGAAATTACGCATTTGATTGCTGAATATTTTCCTGATCTTCCCGAGTACATAAAAATCTTGGTGACGAGCAGGCCAGAGATTTCCGTTGCTGATCTAAGACTAAGAGATGATCAAAAGACGGACATTGCCAATGTTCATGACAACAATAACTCAGATCTGGAACTTTATTTTGAAAAATGTTTTCCAAGTTTAGTTGGCAGGGAAGTGGATAAAAGGGAGATGAGCCAAGATTTCTATAAGGATCATCCATATCTATCATCTCATCACCGCTTTTGGCAAAATAAAACTATTAGTTTACTTTCCATTTTTGTTGCCAAATGCCAAGGCTCATTTCTCTATGCATATCACTTTCAATCTGGGCTAAGGGCTCGCTATGATCTTGAGAAGATAACAAATAATGATGTCATAGAGTTTCTCCCAGAAGGTCTGCATTCTGTTTACGAACGATATTTTAAACGCCTTGAAGACGAGCTTAACGCCATAAAACACGAAAAGTTCGATGTCTTGAATATTTTGGCAATGCTGGTTGCTTCCGAAGAAGATCTTCCCCTCACTTTCGTCGCTCAGGCTTTTGGTTTAGCTCCAGATTGTCGCGAAACGAAAGACATCATCAAAAAAATTAATGAAACCGTATCGTGCTTGTTGTACGTTTCAGATGACAGGTTAACCGTTTTTCATAAATCCTTTATTGATTGGCTTTTAGCAAAGGGCTACAAAGATCACCAGTATACTGTCAAGGTCGATGATGGACATAGATCGCTTTGGCTTTTATGCAAGAAGGTTTTTAAAGAAATTAAAGATAAAGGTGTTCGCTCGGGACTTGAGCTGAAGCTTACTAATGACGTGGAATACGCTCTGAAACATGGTTTAAATCATCTAGAAAAGTGTGAAATGGAGGAAGGTGTGTTTTGGTCAGTTGATGTTATTATCGTATGTTATATGTTAACTGTAATCCATTCATATGAATTGCGGCGTTTCTGGCGCAAATTACTCCAAAGTTCTTGGATTAAAAACGAAGATTTACGTGCCCGTATTTCGTACCATGTCATTGAATTTGGCTCTTTTGATCTTGCCCTGATTCCCGCGGGGCTGCATCACAGACATTCAAAACAAGTTTTTTCGACAGTATATTCACAATGTTATTTACAAGCGGTTCTTACATATCCTCCAGAAGGTTATTTTAGCGATGATGAGAAGAAAATCGCGGAGACGCTACTCTCAAACGTTACACCTTTTGTCGAGTCGAATTCTTACGAAGTTTCGGTTTTACCGCGAGCAGTCTGGATTCACAGTGACTTGGGTAATATTAAAGCTGTTGCTTTATCTAACGATGAGAAAAGTGTAGCAGTTGTAACAGAGAATATTATCCGTGTGATATCCCTACCAACTTTAGTTGAAATTATGAGTTATTCAACAAAATTGGTAAACATTTCATGCTGTACATTTTCTCCAGACGATTCGCTCATATTATTTGGTAAACTGGAAACGGCGTTTAACATTGCTGAAAGAAAGGAAGTTCCATTTTTCCTTGGAAATGCAGAGACATTCGAGACCTGTGGATTTTCTCCTAACGGAAAAAGACTGGTGACTAGCAACCGTTCAAACACCATTAAACTATGGGACGTTGCTAAACAAAAAATGCTGTCGTCTCTTTGTGCTGGATTTCGTGTTTATTTTTGTTATTTTAGCGCCACAGGGTCATTTATTATTGGAAATTCAGAATTTTCATCTTATCCGCGTTATTCGTTTTGTGTTTGAAACGCCATCACATTGCAAAGAAGTGATAAGCGAAATTTATCTCACGGGGAAAGGGAGAAACCAGATGTGTTAAAGAGTAGGAAATGTGAACGATGTTTTCAGCGGGGATTTGAGCTACCAAATTTTAAACACTTAGAAATAAGGACTCTATATAATAGGATATCGTGTTCGTGGATCTGCGAATGTGTGGAGTGTATTATTTCTCCGAATGAACATTGTTATTCGAATGTCACAGAAAGTATTCCTTTGACTGTGATTGTTGCTTGGAACTATCTTGCTATAGCTCCTCGAAAATATTTTTTTCATCGACGCAAAATGACACTTTTAAGAGATAATCTGTGGCTCTATTCAGATGAAGAAAAACTAATTGTCTTTAAGACATTGGCTCCTAAACAAGAGCAATCCTGTCTGTCACAGCCAACGGTCGTTTATTCCAGTTCGTTTTCTCCTGACGGCTCTCGACTTGCATCCTGCAACTCAGATGGATATATCAACGTATGGAATGTCTATACCAGCCAAGTTGAACAACGTTTCAAAAGCAGTCAATGTGGGTCAATGTTTTCATGCTGGTGGTCGGAAAATTTCTTGTTTGTGATTAGTGAATTTAACAGGAATGCCAAATTAACGCGATACCCGGTAGATAACAATCTAAATATCTTGTTTACTGACAGTCAGGACGTAGCGCTAGACGTCTTGTCTTATTTCAGTCATTCTGAGCTGATTGGTTTTTCTGAAGGCTTTTTCAGTTTGGCTCTCGAAAGGAATGAACCCGTGAAAGTTCTCGATGTCAGAGATGTTGATGGTCCTGTAATGATCAATTTGCCTGGAATTGAGCGTAAGATGAAAGTGGAAATCTCGCCTGGTGGTGCCTTTATCTCTGGTTGTAATAAGAATAAATGTTATATTTGGAAAAGAAATACCGAAAACCCAACTTCGTATGAAGTCTTTTATCGCCGTGACGCTGGAGGGTCTGACAGATTGCCTGATGTCGTAATTTTCAGCAATGATTCCAAAGTCGCAGTAGTCCTTCACCACAAGGACAACACTGATGGGAGTCAGATAATTGATCTGGGCACTGGTGATTCTCAAAATATAACTCATGCATTCCAGTCCGTTCTTTATTCGAGGTCATTTTGTTTTCACAAGTGTAGAATTGTACTAACTGTATCTAATCACCTGATAGCATTTTTTGACATGGACTCTGGCGCTATTCTCAACACTTTCTATCAACCATACTTTGAGACTTTTTTGCCAAGCCAAAGAATTCAACTTTCCCTAAAAGAGGACGTGCTTGCTTTTCCTGACAACAAAGGTGATATGGTGTTTCTTCGACTGTCTATTCCACCAAATCCTTTGTTGGACGATATCAAGCGAAGTGCAGTTCCTTCGTTGGACGATCGTAAGCGAGGTGCAGTAGTCAATCCTTTCTTTAACCGGAACAAAGTCGTCTTGCGGAAAAAGGTTTAGACTGCTTTTAAGAAAATCTACACAAAACTGTATATTTTCTTAGATGTTTGGTTTCCCCACAAGTGGTTTATACCAATTAAATGCGAATATCTTTGTTTTTAAAAAAAACTGAAGTGAACTCGTTCACACGAGGACGAAAAACAATAGGAGAAGACTTAGTTGATAAAGACTTTGTTATGAACGACAGATGTTTTGGAATTGATTTTTCAGTCAGGATATTTCATAATGGATTTAGTGAACAATAACATGAAAAACTATCATCAAGAACATTGTTTTTGGAGAAGCGGCTAGAAAGAGGGAGATAGAGGGAGAGAGTGGATAGTTTTGTTTTGAAAGTTTTCCTCAGTTTTTCTGTTCCGCAACGAATTGCAAGAAATGTTTTAAAACTTCAACAGTGGCTCCGACAGATTTGAATTTTCCTATTGTGGTAATTTCTCCCATGCAGCAATTCCAACAATGTCGAAACAATTGGAAAAAATGTGGTTCGCTTCCAATAATTTTTTTTTTGCCTGGCTTCTTAAGGCTGTCTTCCACTTAAGCTGCGTCACACGGTACCGGATCCACTCATCACGACATTTTCGTTTGCCGTTATGAAGCAACGATTATTAGTAAATGCTTATTAATTTCATAGATTTGGTATATTTATTCAGGGTTCAGACATTAAAAAACACCGCTGTCATTCATTAGCTTCAAAATTTCACCTGATGGTAATCCACAATCTTGGAAAAAATATTGGGAGACTTTTTTCGAAGTCTAACCGGATTTCCAGTTATGTACAGCAAATGTACCAATTCTCTCAACCAAAAGGCAAGTTGCCATAAATCCCCCCCCCCTCCCCCAATTACAATGTTGTTCAGTTTAATGACAATTTGGAAGAGATACAACACTAGTTCAACATTGTAATGCGGGGGGGGGGGGGGGAATGTCAAAATTAGGAAAGTCTACGAATTTTTTTCCAGGATTGTCTGAAAAATGGGAAATAGCTAAAAGTTTGTAATGTTAATTAGAAAAAATTTTAAACTATAATTCCACCATTTTGCAGTCATATAATCGTGGCAACTACTTCTCCGTTGCAGTAGGCATTTTGGGGATGATGGAGGAAAATCGGGGGGGGGGGGGCTGACGGTTAATTTGCGTTCAATTTTGTACATAAATGATATTTTCTAAAATGAGCATTTTGCATACGTTTTGATTTTAATAGCATAAAAGGTCGCGAATTGGCAATATTTAAAAAAAAAATTATTGCAATTTATTATTTTTATGTATTTTGTACTTTAGATGGTTAAAAAAACTGCCAAAAAAGTGTCTTTGGGGCATTCTGCTCAAATTAGGGCGGCATGTCAGCTTTCAAAAGTCCGCGGGTCGAGGCTTTTAAAAATGTTTCCTCAGTACTCTAAAGCTGCTATATATAAACATGCCAAGAAATCTTTAAATGGTGAGCCTGTTTTTGATAAAAGAAGACAAAATAAAGAAAGACCAACAAAGTTATCCCATCAAGACAAAAGGAGTGTAGTACGCTCGTTAAAAAATCTCCGAAAGAATGAAGGTTCGTTTACGTCCAAGCGTATTCAGTTGGACAGTGGTTTAAAGCATGTAACCAGCCGTACGGTACGGAATCGTTTAAATGCAGAAGGCTACTGGTATTTACAAACAAGAAAAAAAGGTCGTCTTCATGCCAAGGATCTGAAATCTAGAGCCAGTTTTTGCAGAAAGATAAGAAGGCAACACTTGGGTGTCGAATTTTGGGAACTGGTATATCCTTCTATTTAGATGGGAAAGGATTTCAGTACAAACGTAATCCTTACGACCAAGCACGTGCACCAGGTGCTCGAGAATGGACGAAACGGGGAGAAGGTTTAAAATTCAATTGCACAGCCAAGGGAAAAAAGGAAGGTGGTACGTATTAATGTCAATTTCATGGTTGCTATATCTTACGGCAAAGGCGTTGTCTTGTGTGAGCAATATGATGGAACGATTACTGGGAATAAGTTTGCCGAAATTGTTAAGTCATCTTTTCCCGAAACATTTAAAAAATCTTCAAACCCAAAAGGAAAACGGTTCCTCATTGATGGATGCCCAAGGCAAAATTCCAAGATGGCAAAGCAAGCTATCAAAAAAGTCGGTGGTTTAGTGTTTAAAATTCCTCCCAGAAGCCCTGATCTTAATCCAATTGAAAATTTTTTTCATTCGCTTACTGTTCGTTTAAATCATGATGCTGTTGAAAAACAAATCGTAAACGAAAACATTAAAGAACTGTCTAATCGGGTCAAAACAACCATGCTGAATTTCAGTCTGAGGAAATTGATAAAATCATTGACAGCATGGATAGAAGGATTACGGCGGTTATAAGAGAAAAGGGTCAAAGAACCAGGTACTGAGTGGATAGTTTAAAATGTCATTTATCCTTTGTAGTCTTTGACAAGAGTGTCGAACTTTTACCAGTGTAAATAACTCAGCAAATTGCACATTATACATGCTTTAATGCTAATTTTAACTCATGTATAACTATTATGCAGAAACATTTGCTTTTTATAAACTTTTCTATGTAAAAACTAATATTAGTTCTAGCAACACTCTAAGCATACAAGGCTTAGACTAAAATTATCGCATGTTATATCATGTTACACTATGTGTTACACAACGTGTTAGACCAAAATTACTATATTTTACTATAGTTTTTGACATGTTACAACATGTTACACCTACTTTTTAAAGAAACTATAGTTATTTAAAGACTAGGTGTAACATGTTGTAACATGTTAAAAACTATAGTAAAATATAGTAATTTTAGTGTAACATGTAGTGTAACATGGCGTAACATGTATATTTTAGACTTCTTATAAAGTGTATATAGTACAAAGCCTGTGCTGTGATAAACCGTATCATCGCATTTGTTTACATACTGATACGCGCTGTAGTATCCATCGTGGTCAGAGAAATTGACAATTATACCGTGTTGCGCTTCAAGACTTTTTTTGGCTTCCAGCCATCTTTTGGGACCACTAAGCTTCAAGGCTACGTGGTAATGAAGACCACCATCTAAGTGCTTTTCTAAGCAACATGCCCAATGTTGTGGAACGACTTTGCTGCGGTTCGATGTAAAGGCCGCGACTACAACTTTAGCAAAAGATTCCCTTGAAGGAAATTTCTTCAAATCCGCTCTACTGTAAGTGACCAAATATGTTCGTCTTGGTTTAAATATAAACTATAAAATTTAAAATTTAAAGTTTAAATATAAACTAGAGTAAACTGCTTTATCTAATATTAGAGTTCCATTCCGACAACGAGATATCTGTAGTTGAAGGAATGTTTAAAGTTCTCCAGGAACGACTACCACGAACACACACAACCCTAGCGCGAAGAAGAGCGAAAGCTATCTTCTTACGTAACCAGTTGAGAACGATGGAGGTACTAAAGTTCTTTTTCTCAGCCAGTTTGCCAGCTAGGAACGAAAGGAAGTGAGAAGTCTCCCTCCCACATCAACCATAGGCACTAAAAACGACTGGGGTGAAGGAGACATGTTCAACTTCAACAATTCTTTGATTATAATGACGTTTCT